GATTAACAATTATTACATCCACATGATTAACAATTATTACATCCACATGATTAACAATTATTACATCCACATGATTAACAATTATTACATCCACATGGACGCATTTAAATAAAGGATGCGCAAAGTTGTGCCAAAAATACATTTAACAGGAACAGATTCAGCCTCACTGGAGGATATAATAAATAGTGTAACACACAGAGCTTTTATTTATAAACAGATAGAATTTTCTGATGACGAGTGGCTCATCAGCCGTTTTGAGGAGAAAAAATCATTTTTAGTTTGGCACTGCTGCGCTCTGGGAGAACGACGCAGCGAGTAGCCACGTGCACATGCAGCAGCAGGGATTGAACTGGGGTTCCACAGGAGCTTTCCAGAGGGAGCTGGCAGACCCATCGGGACCGTGTCAGTCCAGTCCACCCAAAGCAGAGTCATGACCAATGGAATCGTCTCATCCATATGATTCTAAAGGCTGAGTTAAGGTCGCGCTCTGGAGCAAGCGCACCCTCGCAGGCAGGGGAGGTGTTTCATACTTTGTTGCCGATTTCTCCAAAATGACACGTGGAAGTACACTTTACAACTTGTGAAATTGCTATAAGTAGGAGAGCCAAAGCTTGACAGACAAACTGACTGCGCACAAAGGCTGCGGCGCACGTGCTCTTGTTTTTTGCAATAAATAACCTACAATAACCATTCTACAAAGTGTCTTTATTCTTTCAGTCACATACAGTATTTCTGTCCTTGTTAAATATATATTTCCACACCAGTCATGACAAGCATTTACATGCACTGGGCTTTTATTCAGAAGAGAAGTAGTGAACTGTGCAAAGTTGTAAACTTTTCCTAAAAAACACAGAAGTTCTACTTTCCTAATGAATATAAACAAATATTAAAATAGGCAAACACTGAAATAACTGTGTTCCCACACTTTCCACCATCAAGGCGTTCAGTATTTCCTGATGCATCTCAGTAATCCAGGTAGAAAAAAAATCAAAAAGAAAAAATAAGTAGGTCCTCTGGATGGGTTCTTCTTTAGTGAAACATTTTGTCTCTCCTCCAAAAGACTTTTCTTCAGTCTGATGAGTTTCAGTTGAAACTCAGCCTTATAAGCACTGCCTCCACCTGGACAAACAGGTTAGTCAGATGCAAAATAGGGCCATTGACTAACAATAGGCTTACAAAAGTCTCTTGGAGGAGAGACGAAACGTTTCACTAAAGAAGAACCCATCCAGAGGACTTATTTTTTTTTCTTTTTGAAGGCATTCAATAATTTTGAGCTCTTTCAAAGTTTCTAATAAAAATGTTGTATTGCTAATCGACCATTTTTGCTTTCTCGACATATTAGAATCTAGCCAGGTGGAAAAGTGCACATGAGCAGTCAGGTCAGTTTTCCACAACCAGAATATCACTATCAGAATAAGTGTTTTGAATACGTGCGGATTACTAATAGGCATTAACCACACCTCTCATTTGGATTACAAAATCATTCCAACTGAGCTGAATCAAATAAGAACATTCCAACTGGGGTATTTACTTTTTTATTTACTCATTTTTACTCATTGGCAACTTGTGTTGATTACTTATGTCCATGTAAACATACTGTAAGAATGGGTGAAAGGCTGCTGGATCCCTCCTATTGTAACTATGCTCTGTGGTCCCTCCACTGGTTCTCCTGTGTTAGCAGCTGTTTCAAGCTGGTTTAATTACAAATTTTACAGACTGACTGATGCCATAAAATCTTGTCACATTACACCAGAATGGTTCTTTGGATAGATAAATACATAAAACATAATAATTCCTGATTAAATTCATTTGCTGTGGTCAGAGCAGAATCTGTTCCCATTAGACGGTGTTGACGAGCCATTTGAGGGCCATGAACCATGGAATTGAATCATTAAATTGAATTAACCACAACATTTTATCTCTGTACTATTTAGAGTTGACAAATCTTTTATTTACACTGCCATCACACCCCATCATGTCGATTCCTGTGTGAACTTTAAATCAGCAGCTGAATGATTCCCCGTCAGCCCAACTATTAGGCAACAAGCATGCAAAGATAATCACTCTTGCAGCTCTGCAAGTGTGTCCTCGCTTCTGAATTCAGGTTTTAGGCTGAAGCTTCAGAAGTCGGATAACAAATGAGCTCATCTTTGTAATCAATATTGTAGACACTCACAGCTTAGCACTTTGAAAAAGCAATCTGCAGTGCCTAATGGCTTATGTTAAGATGTCAGTATTGCCTTTATGACTCTTAACTGAGGCTTAGCCCCAATTGTAGAAGCTCCCACCCCACAGCTAAAATAGTCTTTTAGTTCCCTTTACAAGTGAAGACCCTTTTCCTCCTCCCAAAAGCATGTAGTGTAGTATTCAATGAAAGAAATGGGAGGGCAGTGAAGAGGAGAGGGCTGGGTTGGACTTCCTCACCGATGAAAGCGACAAAAGATGACCCATCCATGCCCTCACACAGAGAGATTTCTTTATCTGAGGCAAAGCATCATTGAGCACTCTCATTTGGGCTGTCAAATCAACGGCGGGGAGTACAGAGTGAAACAGTCCCTTTTCTTTCATCCGTGTGCAATTAGTGGCAGCTATCAGTTTAGAGGACAGTTTAATAGCACGCCTTTATTCAGACCGGGTCAGTCGTTTGTCTAAAGACAGACTAAGTGCTTTTTTTAATTACACTGTTCATTCAAGGCCAACGAACATGATTTACAACTCATTGACTTCCTTAGATGTAACACTTCAGCATTGTTATTATTACCAAAATGTTTCTGAATTGTGTGGAAGCAGCTGAATCTTTCAAATCCATCAAACCTCATTAACTTTTATGAGAACATTTTTGTTTTAGTTTTGCTCAGTTTTCAATTTCCCACAAGGCAATTATGTTTAAACATAAACTGATTATCTGGATGACACTTTTTTATCATCGGCTCTATCTGCTCACCTTGCCAGCAGGCACCGACTGTGAGCTGCATGTCAATCTGTGATGGGTGGATGGGCCAGTCATCCGTCACGAGGTAGGGGTCGTAGGTGACTCCGTCCACGTAGAGCGTCACCACCGGGAACTCCACATTGATGACATAGTAATGCCACTCCTTATCACATATCTGAGAGGAGAAAAACAACAAGAGGGGGAATCTTCATTTGTTGTTACTTGAAAAATGAGCTGTTTCGGAAAGTCGTCCATACGTAAATATGATGCAGCACTTAGTTACTGTGGTTGCCAAATTTTGAGGAAAGTTACATTTTAGAAAAACATATTTGCTGCTTACTGAGAGTTTCCTCAGTGATTACAGAGCAGCTAGCAGAGATCTGTCCGTTACAACAGGTTTTCATTTTTTTTAATGTTCAAAAATAATTATACAAGTTGCTGCTATACATTAAGGTTTAAATCTAGAATATTTTAAAACTTTTGGAAATTGTGAAGATTGAATGATAAAAATGACATACAAATCATCAAATTTATTCAACCAATTTATAAACAAAGATAACTTTCATCAGAAATTACAAACAGAAATGGTTAAAAATTAAAAGCGAAGAGTTTATTCNGTAAATAACAATGATCTAAACCAGACCTGAAGTCAGTCTGTAACTTAGACTTAAGCTGGTTGAAAAATTGACTTCAATGAATGATAAAGTATATTTATTATTTCTTACAGTCAATAATAATGATGATGATAATTATGATGATGATGATAATAAAAATAGTCACAATTTAATTGCTAAATTAAAAGATAAATAAGGGCAAAAAAACAAACAAAACTTTTTTTAAAGAAATTCTAAAAATTATACATACTAAATGAAAAGTGGTATGTGATTGTATTCATTACCTTTGCCTTAACCCTCGTGCTACCCTTGGATCAAAATGACCCACGAGACTTCAGCTTTAAAATGGATCCTCTGGACAGTTAAACAGGGTTAAAGTCAGGAGGGTAAAAAGCCAAGTCATTACCTTCAGTTGCTACATATTTAGTTAGTACAAAGATCCATTTAGGTGAAAACCAAGCATTAGTCTGTTTTGATAGATCCCAGACCAGTGCAACACCTCTAAGTACTAAGGAGTTCCACTAAACAAGCAACAGCAAGAAGACAAATGAACTATTGACACAGGCCAAAAATGTGTAGAGAAGTACTGATCAGGGTTCTAGACCACAAACCTTCAACAAAGCACCATTAAACTTATGATTTTTAACATGAAAAGAACATACCACAGATTTCACAGATCGAGCAAGGGCATTAATCAGAGAAGCAAACAAGAAGTCAAAGATAACCCTGATGTAGCTGAGCAGTTATTCTGCAGAGATGGGAGCCTTTGTTCATTGGACCACTATGAACTTCACATTGAACAAAGCTGGGCTTCAAGAGTAACCTGAACAAAGCTATAGCCTAAAAAAGCAGACCAATTTGTTTAAAAAGTATACTGGAGACTTTCCAAATATGTATGTTGGTCATTAAGGACAGTATCATGCCATGTGCACATCAACCCCAAAATGAAGTATAGTGGGGGCAAAATCAAGCCGTGGGGATGTTTTATATTGGCAGAGAAGCAACAATGTAGTTAGAGTTTAAGAAAAGACAATTAGATTAAAATGTCAGACAAGGGAAACCTGTTAGAGTTTTGTCAGAGACTGGGACAGAGCTTCCCTTCCCAGCTGGACAATAATCCTAAACACTATGATAAAACAATATAGTGGTTTAAAGAGAACTGATTAAATGTCTTGAAACAATCCAGTCTAAGTCAAAGCCTCAATTCAACTGAGAATCTCTAGAATGATTTAAAGATTGTCATTCACAAGTGGGTTCATCCAAATTTAACGCGCGAAAGAGGTGATATGAGGTGGTGGAAAAATCATGCAGTTCAGTTTTCTGTCTTTTTTTATTTCTTGTTTATTTCACAATGACTTGTGTTTTGCACCATCAAAGTGATGGTTCTGCTGTGTAAAAAAATGATAATATAAAAAATATATAATAAAAATATTTTTTATTATGTTTTATTTTCTGTGATGAAAAAAACAACAACAGCATGAACCTTTTTTTCTATTTGTATTTCAGTAAGATGATAAAACAGATGAATCTTACTACTGTCCTGATGCATCTCAGTAATCCAGGTAAAAAATCAAAAGGAAAAAAAATTGTATAGGTCCTCTGGACGGGTTCTTCTTTAATGAAACGTTTCGTCTCTCTTCCAAGAGACTTCTTCAGTCTGAGAGTTTCAGGCAAAATTCAGGCTTTTGAGTCCTGCCTCCAGGTGACTCATACTCACATCACATGGCTATCGTTCACAGGTGACTGATACTCACATCACATGGCTATCGTTCGCACCTAATTAATACCCATTGTTAACAGGGGGTGGAGTGATACTGCCAATGGCAGCGCTGTAGGAGGGGGACAGCTGAAAACGGAGGCCCCCACCTCTGTTTAATGATGGACGGTCTTTCTTTACAAAAATGGCTTCTTTCACTCTCTCAAACCAACGTTCCTCCCTATCAAGAATGATGATGAGGATGTATCAGTCACCTATGAACGATAGCCATGTGATGTGAGTTATCAGTCACCTGTGAACGATGGTCATGTGATGTCAGTATCAGTCACCTGGAGGCAGGACTCAAAAGCCTGAATTTTGCCTGAAACTCTCAGACTGAAGAAGTCTCTTGGAAGAGAGACGAAACGTTTCATTAAAGAAGAACCCGTCCAGAGGACCTGTACAATTTTTTTTCCTTTTGAATCTTACTACTGTTTGAACAGTATTGTAAACAACATTGTTGCTTTTATGTTGACTTTTTATCTATTTTTTATTTTTTTAATCATACCATTCATTAATTACATTTAATCATACCATACACACAATAAATTTGTGTATTCTTCTTTAATCTTGACTATACAAATAGTTTTATACATTTTATGATAAAAATTAATTTCATCTTATTTGGCAATGTTCTTGTGTTAGAATTTTTAAAATGATAACTTACTATCTTCAAAAAATAAAATCAAATGTCCTCTTTTAGCATTTTGAGATCATTTGGAGTCCAGCAGTCTGTATTTCAGCATTATTTGGTGTTTGATTTACAGTTTGCTACTATGTGTTGTGTAGACTCTTGAAACTGCAGGGGCGCCATATCAATGGGGAGCCATGAAGGTTTATCTTCCCAGACTCCAACAACTACTTTTCTCTTTTTTAAGGGCTCCCCAATGGGCCCCTGTTGAGCTGAGCTCTCTCTTCCCACTTTTTTGTCCTGTAATGGCTCTAGGGCCTAGGTCCTGCCTGAACGTCCCGCTAACCTCTAAAGATAGGCACCCAAAAGCGATAATGATCAGGTTAAGAACCACTTCAGTTGGATTTGATATAAGAGCGGTGGGACTGCTCTCTTCAGAGTCTCTTCCAAATATTTCAGCTCCACATTGGGATTTACGGGAGATAATTGGGCAACCCAGCGAAATCTTTTTGAAATTGCTCTAACAAAATGACATGGTTGCCTTCATTTTTTAAGTTATTGTGCAAAAATATTTGTATATTTTGTATTAATTCCTGGAATCTGAATTTAAGCATGCATAGTTTTTTTGCTTACTTAATATTAATTGAGAAGCTTTAGTTTTTCACTTGGGAAACCTCTTGTGAAAAACGCTTGGCTGGAAGGCTCTTCAACATGCTTGACCACAACGCCTGCCTCACTGAGTTTGATTGCACCATCTCAGCCAAATCTGTCTGTCTGCCTCTCTCTCTCTCCTTTTTTTCTCTGCTTCAGGTTTTGTGCTAAGCTGTGACAGTAGTCATCAGTCTGCGCTTTGTCTCTTCTCTGCTCCTCTGATCCAACCTGGGACAGCCTTTGAACACTTAGCCTTGGGTAACCTCCCTCCCTAATGAGGATCGCTCTGCTGCCTGCTTATTAACACCATGCTAGCGGAGCAGATGGGAGTTCCAATCAATGCAATTCATTTTCTCTGTTATGCGGGCGCGTGTGTGAGGCACTACATCTGGTCCATTGATAATCATTCCACACAGCTGCTTCGTGCAGACACAGCATGCCGATCTGCTGAGATGCTGCTGGGAGCAGTCAGGTGGAATAAACTGACTGTGGTTTGACAGTACTGCAGATGAGAATAAAACTAATGGGATTGACTTTGATTAACCAGTTGGGATGTCTGGGGACTTCTAACACACCTGCTGCCCTTGGGTCAAAATAACCTACGATGCCCCAGTTTTAGAAGTGCGTTTTTCAAGCTGAGGTCTCATTTTGACTCAAGGGCAGCAGGAGTAAATTATTTGCATTGTGTTGCATGATGTCTTGGTAAAATTTTTAAGATTTTGCCAGAATACATTACACACATCGAGTTCATTCCAGATGCAGCTTTTTAATCTTTAATGCATCTATCAGCTGAATCTTAATGTCTGTTTGTTTTCTTGATCTGGTAAAATTTCTTGGCTGCATGGTTTAACACAACTCTGTACACCGGCACGTACAAACTCTGATTCCAGTGACATTTAGACTATCCTCCTTCATGTGCTAGCGCTTTTTGCTGTTCAGCATTTCAAAGAGATCTCAGGCCCATCTGGGATCTGAGACCCTAGTGGGTGACTTCATCTCACAGGCTTCAAAGGGGAAATGGTGCGGCAATATTGCTCAAGAGGATGCTACCTGAACTGCGTTTTGATGACAGTTTGGAGAGTGCTTTCTAGAGTAGAAGGAGAGAGGAAATAATGTGGTCACATGTGTCAACAAAAAGGAGAGAAAAGAGGAGAGTGTGTGTGTGGTGGTGGTGTGGGGCAGCTTTTTGGATGCATTTCTTAGTAGCTGCAGATGGTAACAAATTTTGCTAAAACATTTAAAGGCGGGGGGTGTTAGATGTTTCAGAATGCTTTTAGTCCACCATCTGCCAATGAAAGTTTGCATATAAAGCGACCTAAGTGGTTGTGGCACCTTTAATGGCAGCTGTAACAATGGTGCACATCTGTGGGAACTGAAACGACATGACACTCAGACTCCAGTTGTAGGACACCAGCAGAAAGGTTAAACCAAAAATAAATTTTTGCTTATGATCTTACAACCCCAATTACAAAGGAGTTGGAACATGGTGTAAAACATAATAAAACAGAGCATGATTATTTGAA